ACTGACTTTGGTTGTTCCAGTGCACCCAGTGGCTTCAAGTGCACTCCCTGTCCACAAGTTATTTATTTATTGTCACCACATGGTGTTGCCAGTACACCCAGTTACTCTAGGTGGGCTACAAGTCAACATGTAATCTAATGTCTCCGGTGCTCCCAGTATGCCCAGTGACTTTAGGTGGGCTAACAGTCAACATGTCCTCTAATATCTCCAGTGCTCCCAGTGCTCTCCAAGTCCATGTGTCCTCTAATAATTTTGGTGTTCCCAATGTGCCCAGTTGATCCAAGAATGCTCCCAGTCCATGTGTCATCTAGTGACTCCAGTGCTCCCAGTGGCTTCAAGTGCTCTCCAAGTCCATGTGTCATCTAATAATTTTGGTGTTCCCAATGTGCCCAGTTGCTCCAAGAGTGCTCCCAGTACATGTGTTATCTAGTGACTATCATGTTCCACGTGGTTTCAAATCCACATGTTATCTAATTACCTTAGTGCTCCCAGTACGCCCAGTGACTCCAAGTGCACTCCCAGCCCATATGTCATCTAATGTCACAGCTGCTGCCAGTATGTCCAGAGTCTCTAGGTGGGCTACCAGTCCACATGTTCTCTAATGTCTCCAGTGGTTCCAGTATGCCCAGAGTCTCTAGGTGGGCTACCAGTCCAAATGTTCTCTAATGTTTTCCGGTGCTCCAAGTATGTCCAGCTACTGTGGAAGGGCTACCAGTCCACATGTCATCTAATGTCTCCGGTGCTCCAAGAACACCCAGAATCTCTACGTGGGCTTCCAATCCACATGTTCTCTAATGTCTCTGGTGCTCCCAGTATGCCTAGTTACTGTCGGAGGTCTACCAGTTCACATGTCATCTAAAGTCTCCAGTGCTCCCAGTATGCCCAGAGTCTCTAGGTGGGAAACCAGTCCACATGTCACCTAATGTCTCTGGTGCTCCCAGTATGCCCAGTTACTCTAGGAGGACTACCAGTCAACCACTCATCTAATGTACCCAGCCCTCCAGAGTGCCTAGCGACTCTAGGTGGGCTATGAGCCAACATCTCATCTAATATCTCTGGTGCTTCCAGTATGCCCAGTGACTCTATGTGGGGCTACCAGTCAACATCTCATCTAATGTCTCTGTGGCTCACAGTATGCCCAGAGACTCCAAGTGTGTTTCCAGTCAATGCGTCATCTAGTGACTCCAATGCTCCCAGTGGTTCTAAATGCTCTTCAAGTCCATCTAATGACATTGGCACTCCATGTACATCAAGTGATTCCAAGTGTGCTCCCAGTCCACATGTCACCGTGTGTCTCCAGTGCTCCCAGTATGCCTAGAGACTCCAAGCGTGCTCCCAGTCCATGTGTCACCTAAAGTCTCCAGTGCTCCCAGTATGCCTAGAGACTCCAAGTGTACTCCCAGTCCACATGTCACCTAAAGTCTCCAGTACTCCCAGTATGCCTAGAGACTCCAAGTGCGCTCCCAGTCCACATGTCACCTAAACTCTCCAGTGCTCCCAGTATGCCTAGAGACTCCAAGTGCGCTCCCAGTCCACATGTCACCTAATGTCTCCAGTGCTCCCAGTATGCCTAGAGACTCCAAGCGTGCTCCCAGTCCACATGTCACCTAATGTCTCCAGTGCTCCCAGTATGCCTAGAGACTCCAAGCGTGCTCCCAGTCCATGTGTCACCTAATGTCTCCAGTGCTCCCAGTATGCCTAGAGACTCTAAGCGTGCTCCCAGTCCATGTGTCACCTAAAGTCTCCCAGTGCTCCCAGTATGCCTAGAGACTCCAAGTGCGCTCCCAGTCCACATGTCACCTAAAGTCTCCAGTGCTTCCAGTATGCCTAGAGACTCCAAGCGTGCTCCCAGTCCACATGTCACCTAAACTCTCCAGTGCTCCCAGTATGCCTAGAGACTCCAAGCGTGCTCCCAGTCCATGTGTCACCTAAAGTCTCCAGTGCTCCCCAGTATGCCTAGAGACTCCAAGCGTGCTCCCAGTCCATGTGTCACCTAAAGTCTCCAGTGCTCCCAGTATGCCTAGAGACCCCAAGTGTGCTCCCAGTCCATGTGTCATCTAGTGACTCTAGTGCTCCAGTTGACTCCAAATGCACTCCTTCTCAATGTGTCATCTATTGACTTTGGTGCTCCCAGAGCGTCCAATAACTCCTCTACTGACCTCTAGTGCACCCCTGTATCTATAGTATGCTCCCTTGTAGAAAGGAAGTATATCACTGTCAGCATCAACAGGTGAATAAAGAGAATAAAAGCCTAAAAAAAGAAAACTAATGCAGCCACCACATCTAAGGAATGGTAAGCTCTGCTATTACTCCTAGGGATGGAGTTCCCGTATAATGGATATATTCCAGATCCCCCCCCCCCTCGTATGTTCTCATGCCGGAGTGTGAGCACCGGCTCGTCTGTCATCTTTCACCCCGCAGTCTCTTTTTCCCACGAATCTGCAGGAAATGCCACCCGGGAATTCCCGCTCATGGAGAGGAGAGAGCGATCACTATCTGATCCTCGTCATGCTAATCTTTCATGTGCCCTTCCTATGAGGGTCTCTCATTGTTGTCCGCCCACCTCATATGAGAGAGATTTCACGTACATTGCTCCACACCCTTATCCAGACCGCCCGAGACTCCCTGCCCTTCTCAAGACCCCCAAATCTTCCCCAATCTCACCCAGAATATCGTGCACCACCACCTCAACAGGGAGGACTTTCTTCCGCAGGGTAATCTGATACCGTGCATTCCATGTGAAGTAACGAACAACTATACTAACTAGAAAAAGTGTATCCAAATCAAAGTCCCAGTGAGCTGGGAATGCCCCGTACATCCACTCTGCATAATTCATGCGATAGAGAAAGGGGGTACCCAGAACCCTCCCCACCCCTTTATACACCTCTATGGTAAAGGGACACTGGAGCGGAAAGTGGTCCATAGACTCCACTTTACCAACACACTCTGCTCTAGGACAATCCCGATCATCCACAGGGCGGTGCTTCAGGTTCCCTCTCACATAGAGCCTTCCATGAAAAGTGAGCCAGGCTTGGTCCTTAAGCTTCAAAGGGATTCTCTCCAAATTAATTAAACGCAACCCCCCCCCCCCCCCCCACCACCCCACCACCGCCATCATCATTACGGAGCCTGGGCAATCCTTTAAGGCCAGTGACACACCAAAAGCAGAAGCCAAAATCCTCTCCCCCAGAAGCTTCCTGGGAAGGGACCTGATATCCTCCACTGTCACCTGCCACTGCCGAAGTATTTTCAGACACGGGCAACATAATCTGGGAGCTTGCCATGTCGGACTCTCAGACTTTTCACTGGCCCGCCATCTTCCCAGCAATGCAGAAAAGGCCTAACCAAGACTGGTTTAGACCAAAAAAAAACCCACCCATCCCGGGGGGGTCTCTGCTAATATTACCAAGATTGTACTTTAAAAACAGCAAAGAAAAGAAAACTATCGAGTTGACCATTCCTGGGCCACCCTCCCGCCTGGATAGGTAAGTTACATTGCGTTTGATCAGGTTCGGCCTATTTCCCCATAACAGTTGGATGGCCAATCGGTTCTTACTCCAGGCCTGGCAGTATTTGGCTTTGAAGGATTTGTGCTCAGCTTTTTAAAACTTTTACGTTTTTCCTCAGCTTTTCCAATCGCCAAGAATCGATCAATAATCCTCTGTCTGTACACATCCTCACCAGGGCCTGGACCCACAGACAGGTCCTCCTCCTCCTCACTATGGCCCGGTGTCATCAGGGGGATCCCTCCCAGGGTCAGGCATGGTTCCTGGGCCAAGCTAGAAGGCAAAGCCCAGGCTTGGAAAACGCTGGTTCTCAGGGAGAGCTTGTTCAATGTGTCCGTCCTCATTCTCCCACTGACCCCCCGCAATGTAAGGGACATTCTTCCGCTGACCACCAATGTAAGGGACATTCTTCCCACTGACCCCCCAATGTAAGGGACGTTCTTCCCACTGACCCCCAATGTAAGGGACATTCTTCCCACTGACCCCAATGTAAGGGACATTCTTCCCACTGACCCTCAATGTAAGGGACATTCTTCCCACTGATCCCCAATGTAAGGGACATTCTTTTCCCACTGACCACCAATGTAAGGACATTCCTTCCACTGATCACCAATGTAAGGGACATTCTTCTCACTGACCCAAATGTAAGGGACACATTCTTCCCACTGACCCCCCAAATGTAAGGGACATTCCCCCCACTGACCCCCAATGTAAGGGACATTCTTCCCACTGTACCACCAATGTAAGGGACATTCTTCCCACTGATCACCAATATAAGGGACATTCTTCCCACTGACCCCCAATGTAAGGGACATTCTTCCCACTGACCCCCAATATAAGGGACATTCTTCCCACTGACCCCCCAATGTAAGGGACATTCTTCCCACTGACCCCCAATGTAAGGGACATTCTTCCCACTGACCCCCAATGTAAGGGACATTCTTCCCACTGACCCTCAATGTAAGGGACATTCTTTCCCCACTGATCCCCAATGTAAGGGACATTCTTCCCACTGACCACCAATGTAAGGGACATTCTTCCCACTGACCACCAATGTAAGGGACATTCTTCCCCCACTGATCACCAATGTAAGGGACATTCTTCCCACTGACCCCCATGTAAAGGGACATTCTTCCCACTGACCCCCAATGTAAGGGACATTCTTCCCACTGACCACCAATGTAAGGGACATTCTTCCCACTGATCACCATGTAAAGGGACATTCTTCCCACTGACCCCCAATGTAAGGGACATTCTTCCCACTGACCCCCAATAAATAAGGGACATTCTTCCACTGATGACCCCCAATGTAAGGGACATTCTTCCCACTGACCACCAATGTAAGGGACATTTCTTCCCACATGACCCCCCAATGTAAGGGACATTCTTCTCACTGACCACCAATGTAAGGGACATTCTTCCCACTGACCACCAATGTAAGGGACATTCTTCCCACTGATCACCAATATAAGGGACATTTCTTCCCACTGACCCCCAATGTAAGGGACATTCTTCCCACTGACCCCCAATATAAGGGACATTCTATCTTCCCACTGATCCCCAATGTAAGGGACATTCTTCCCACTGACCACCAATGTAAGGGACACTTCCCACTGACCCCCAATGTAAGGACATTCTTCCCACTGACCCCCAATGTAAGGGACAATTCTTCCCACTGACCACCATGTAAGGGACCTTCTTCCCACTGACCCCCCAATGTAAGGGACATTCTTCCCACTGACCCCCCAATGTAAGGGACATTCTTCCCACTGACCCCCAATGTAAGGGACATTCTTTCCTCCCACTGACCCCCAATGTAAGGAACTTTCTTTCCCACTGATCACCAATGTAAGGGTACATTCTTCCCACTGACCCCCCAATGTAAGGGACATTCTTCCCACTGACCCCCAATGTAAGGGACATTCTTCCCCACTGACCCCCAATGTAAGGACATTTCTTCCCACTGACCCCCAATGTAAGGGACATTCTTTTTCCACTGACCCCCCAATGTAAGGAACGTTCTTCCCACTGATCCCCAATGTAAGGGACATTCTTCCCACTGACCCCCAATTGTAAGGGGACATTCTTCCCACTGACCCCCCCAATGTAAGGAACGTTCTTCCCACTGATCACCAATGTAAGGGACATTATTCTTCCCACTGACCCCCCAATGTAAGGGACATTCTTCCCACTGACCCCCAATGTAAGGACATTCTTCCCCACTGACCCCCAGGGACATTCTTCCCACTGACCCCCAATGTAAGGGACATTCTCCCACTGACCCCCCCATGTAAGGAACGTTCTTCCCACTGGATCCCCCAATGTAAGGGACATTCTTCCCACCTGACCCCCCAATGTAAGGGGACATTCTTCCCCACTGACCCCCAATGTAAGGGTGCAGCAAAATCTCAGATCCTGCATTAGTTGCATCATTGTGATCCTTTCTTCTCCAATGGCAACCATCAGTCCTGGAATAAAATTCGATGGTGTCTTTCCTTTGCAGATAAGCCGGATCCCCCAGCCGGGCAGCCCTGTGCCTCGAGATATTAGGGCTCGGCCCTGACCCTGTCCTGGTATGGTCCCACCTATGATGGAGGCAGCGTGGTCCAGTCCTACATGGTGGAGATCTGGGATTCCGTGGACAAGAAATGTGGTCCGACCTGACGCTGTGCAGGAGCACCTCCTTCAACGTGGAAATCTGCTGCACGACCGCGAGTACAAGTTCCGGGTCCGGGCCACCAACGTGTACGGAACCAGTGAGCCCAGCCAGGAATCGGACCCTGGTGGCTTACAAGGAGAAAGTAGAAGGAGGTAACAATGTAACACTTTTGGGTTCCTTAAAAGGACCACTACGTTCAGAACCATTTATCATGTCATCTTTAGGTGTCCCTGCACGTGATTCAAAGTCATCAGGAGTTCTCTTTTTACGTGGTTGGATCATTTAAAAATAGAACTCCTGGCCTCCAAAAAATAAAAAGTGCTGCAGTTCCTAATTATAAGTCCCATCTGCACTCGCAGTTTTCTTTAGTCCTCTCCAAACTTCCACAAATACCTGTTGATCCTGCCAGTAAAGTCCATCAAATGCAGCTTCCTGTAATAGTGTGACAACAATGCTGCACTGCTCCTGAATTCAGAGCAGAGTTGTCATGTAGGTGGCGTCTGCTTGCACTGCAGTGGGAGGAGATATTGCAGAGGGCGTGGCTGTCAGCAAGGTCACTACCGATTCAAAAGCCTGGAAATTGTTTTTCAACGCTTGGCCACACCCAGTCCTGCTTTCTGGATTGACAGCTGTGCCTCTGCTACTGAGATCTTCCCTGTGTGGGCTGCAGTGTCTGGGAGGGGGAGCGCGTGAGACACCAATGAAGGGGATCGGGCTCAGAACTTTTTTGGGGACCTGTGTAGACTGTCATACAGGAGCCCATTGATGTACTTTAGAGAAAGTTTTACACTTTTCTGTGTAGAGATTCTCAACTCGACTTTAGTAAATCAGCCTCAGTGAGTTCCCTCTACTGTCCGATATTAATGATGTTCATTATTTTCTTTCATGTTTTTGTAGAACATAAAGATGAAGTTGAAGTGTCTGATGATGGTGAGTGATTCACAGATTGTATATATAGTGGTGAGCTTAGAGTGTAAGCTCCTCTGGTACAGAGACTGATGGGACTGTGGGGGAGGGGACATTAGAGTGTAAGCTCCTCTGGTACAGAGACTGATGTGACTGCGGGGGGAGGGGACATTAGAGTGTAAGCTCCTCTGTACAGAGACTGATGTGACTGTGGGGGGAGGGGACATTAGAGTGTAAGCTCCTCTGGTACAGAGACTGATGGGACTATGGGGGAGGGGACATTAGAGTGTAAGCTCCCCTGGTACAGAGACTGATGTGACTGTGGGGGAGGGGACATTAGAGTGTAAGCTCCTCCGGTACAGAGACTGATGTGACTGTGGGGGAGGGGACATTAGAGTGTAAGCTCCTCCGGTACAGAGACTGATGTGACTGTGGGGGGAGGGGGTACATTAGAGTGTAAGCTCCTCTGTACAGAGACTGATGGGACTGGGGGGGAGGGGGACATTAGAGTGTAAGCTCCTCTGGTACAGAGACTGATGTGACTGTGGGGGAGGGGACATTAGAGCGTAAGCTCCTCTGGTACAGAGACTGATGTGACTGTGGGGGAGTCTGACCCCGGGGAGGGCATATTTTTCATCCAGGAACAGATTTTGGGATATAAATGGCTGTGTTTGTGTCTGGCAGAGGAGATGTCGGAGTCGGATTACCGCAATGTGGCCATAAACACCACGCAGAAGGTGGCAGAATTCTACGACGTGGAGGAGCGGCTGGGGACGTGAGTATGATGAGGAACCTTTTGCGGGGTCTTTCTGGTGCCGGCCGCGTCCCACCGCTCTGGGCTGCCACTCTCTCTGTCATTTGCCATGATTTATACTTCCTGTGGTACACACAGACTGTCATTTGGACGCACACAGGAGTGTGGGAAATCCCTCGGATTGCACTGGACGGCCGCCGTTCCCAGGACTTCATCCTGAGATATTCGTAACCCCGCCCTTCAGTCCAGAAATCTATTTATTTTTTATGGACTGTTGCTGGAATTTTGCAGACATCGTCACGTTTTTATGGATTTTTATTAACATTCACCCCCAAATCACATATCTGCGTTCCTGCGGGCGGCGTTTTGCGTGGGCAGGAGAGCCCAATCATTTGCCCCGGGACACGCAGGGAAGAAGTCCCAGCACTGCCTCTGAAAACGCAGCCGAGGTTCCCAGTACGGTTGCGTTTTCAAGTGCGGGAGGCGTGCCATTAGAACTAATATCACCCGCCGCGGGTCCGCGTTCTTCTGTGTGGTTGGTGCAGCTGCACGGATTGAAGGGGAGGAGCCGGTACACCTGTGCAAGACTGGAGGGGAGGAGCCGGTACACCTGTGCAAGACTGAAGGGGAGGAGTCCGGTACACCTGTGCAAGACTGAAGGGGAGGGGCCGGTACACCTGTGCAAGACTGGAGGGGAGGATCCGGTACAACCTGTGCAAGACTGAAGGGGAGGAGCCGGTACACCTGTGCAGGACTGAAGGGGAGGAGCCGGTGCACCTGTGCAAGACTGGAAGGGAGGAGCCGTTACACCTGTCCAAGACTGAAGGGGAGGAGCCGATACACCTGTGCAAGACTGAAGGGGAGGAGGCCGGTACACCTGTGCAAGACTGGAGGGGAGGAGCCGGTGCACCTGTGCAGGACTGAAGGGGAGGAGCCGGTGCACCTGTGCAAGACTGGAGGAGAGGAGCCGGTACACCTGTGCAAGACTGAAGGGGAGGAGTCGGTACACCTGTGCAGGACTGGAGGGGAGGAGCCGGTACACCTGTTCAAGACTGAAGGGGAGGAGCCTGTACACCTGTGCAAGACTGAAGTGAAGAGGAAGGAATTAAAGGAAACAATAGCAGACTACATCCCCCCAGCCCCCCCCCCCCCCCCCCCCCACACACACTCCCCTGTCTTCCAGAGATCTCCAGTTATCCGGTAGGAGATGAACGGTTGGCACCTGCTTGTGAGCTGGAGATACAAGGTCTGGTGTATATCCAGAGGAAAATTCTGAGCTCTCTTTGTTGCTGTCATTTTTTTTTTTTGTTGTTTCATGGGACTTTTGTTGGGAAAGTCTGTTGTGGTTTCTTCTGAACCCCCCCCCCCCCCCCCCTGGGCCCTATTTTCCCCCCCCCCCCCATACCTGCAGAACAAAGGATTGAGCTCCCCATACAGCTTCTGTATGTGAGGATCCCAGAGACCTGGAAATTATGTGAATCCCCTGCGGAGGATATGAAGAGTTTCCCAACGACGGAGCATGTGAAAATCCCCGTCCTGACATCCGCTCCGGGAGAATCAGAACCCAAATATTACACCTAATAATAGCTTGCGGTGGATTGGAAGGAATGGCGTTTGGATCCGGATGCCCATTCCTCATCCCGCTGGGAAAATCCCTAATTGTCTCCTAATGTCTGAGGCGCATTCCTCACATAGATTCCACCATATGTGCCGAATGGAGCGCCACACCCGGTGCCAGAAAATATGGAGGAGATCCAGGAGAGAGACAAAGTGTTACTGTAATCACCGCCATGTGATGTCACTACTCTGTCATATATCTTATATCTGGAGGGCGGTGATGTCACTACTCTGTCATATATGTTATATCTGGAGAGCGGTGATGTCACTACCCTGTCATATATGTTATATCTGGAGGGCGGTGATGTCACTACCCTGTCATATATCTTATATCTGGAGGGCGGTGATGTCACTACCCCTGTCATATATCTTATATCTGGAGGGTGGTGATGTCACTCCTGTATAATATATCTTATATCTGGAGGGCGGTGATGTCACTCCTGTATAATATATCTTATATCTGGAGGGCGGTGATGTCACTACCCTGTCATATATGTTATATCTGGAGAGCGGTGATGTCACTCCTGTATAATATATCTTATATCTGGAGGGCGGTGATGTCACTCCTGTATAATATATCTTATATCTGGAGGGCGGTGATGTCACTCCTGTATAATATATCTTATATCTGGAGGGCGGTGATGTCACTACCTGTCATATATCTTATATCTGGAGGGCGGTGATGTCACTACCCTGTCATATATATCTTATATCTGGAAGGCGGTGATGTCACTCCCTGTATAATATATCTTATATCTGGAGGGCGGTGATGTCACTACTCTGTCATATATCTTATATCTGGAGAGCGGTGATGTCACTACCCTGTCATATATCTTATATCTGGAGGGCGGTGATGTCACTACCCTGTCATAATATATTTATATCTGGAGGGCGGTGATGTCACTCCTGTATAATATATCTTATATCTGGAGGGCGGTGATGTCACTACCCTGTCATATACTGTATGTTATATCTGGAGAGCGGTGATGTCACTCCTGTATAATATATCTTATATCTGGAGGGCGGTGATGTCACTACCCTGTCATATATCTTATATCTGGAGGGCGGTGATGTCACTACCCTGTCATATATATCTTATATCTGGAGGGCGGTGATGTCACTACCCTGTCATATATCTTATATCTGGAGGGCGGTGATGTCACTACCCTGTCATATATCTTATATCTGGAGGGCGGTGATGTCACTCTGTATAATATATCTTATATCCGGAGGGCGGTGATGTCACTCTGTATAATATATCTTATATCTGGAGGGCGGTGATGTCACTCTGTATAATTTATCTTATATCTGGAGGGCGGTGATGTCACTACCCTGTCATATATCTTATATCTGGAGGGCGGTGATGTCACTCCTGTATAATATATCTTATATCTGGAGGGCGGTGATGTCACTCTGTATAATATATCTTATATCTGGAGGGCGGTGATGTCACTCTGTATAATATATCTTATATCTGGAGGGCGGTGATGTCACTCTGTATAATATATCTTATATCTGGAGGGCGGTGATGTCACTCTGTATAATATATCTTATATCTGGAGGGCGGTGATGTCACTCTGTATAATATATCTTATATCTGGAGAGCGGTGATGTCACTCTGTATAATATATCTTATATCTGGAGAGTGGTGATGTCACTCTGTATAATATATCTTATATCCGGAGGGCGGTGATGTCACTCTGTATAATATATCTTATATCTGGAGGACGGTGATGTCACTCTGTATAATATAACTAACTGACATTGGCGCTGGTTGGTTGAGGGTCATGTGATCTGTTTCCTCTTTCAGGGGTAAATTCGGACAAGTGTTCCGGTTGGTGGATAAGAAGACGAAGAAGGTTTGGGCAGGAAAATTCTTTAAGGCGTACTCCGCCAAGGACAAGGAGGGGATCCGGCAGGAGATCGACATCATGAACTGCCTGCACCACCCCAAACTGGTCCAGTGCATAGACGCCTTTGAATCCAAAGCCGACATGGTGATGGTTCTGGAACTGTGAGTACTCCCTTTGTCAGCCAATCAGATCCTGCCTGCAGGATGACATCACACAGCGCACTGCTCAGACCTTCCTGTCTGCTGGTTTTAATAGTCTCCGTGTGGAAGTCATAAAGGGAAATAATAAAAAGTCTAATTGGCCGCCGCGGGTTTTTCTACGCTTTGTATACAGAGAGATCCAGGAGCCGCACTGGATGATGTTTGTTTAACATTTCGTCTTTTATTGCCGATCACCACGGAACTCGGAACTCCGGCCAAAACGGCTTCTTCCCCTTAGTGCAGGTCGGGGTGGATAACTAAAGCAGTCTGTGATATCTCCGGGGACAGTCCCCTCCATTCATTTTACAGATCTGCTCTGTGGGGGGCGCTCTCCATATGCAGCGACACCAGAAAGATTACGGTCCCGGCATTGCGGGGTCACTGCCCCTAGGGGAATACATAGAGAATGCATGCTAGGGAAGGAACCACAAGAGCTTGCACTCTTATGGTAGGATTCAGACCCATTACCAAAATCCCAGAGAGCAGGAAAGACTAAAAACTAAAAAAAAAAAAAAAAAAAAAGAATGTGGATGATAGATGATAGATATCAATAATGATAGACAGTGAGTGGCTTGGCTGTCCTTTAATTCTTTCTGTTTATTTATTTATTGCAGTACAGCTGGAAACGGGCGTAGATAAGGGGGGGTCAGGGGGTGGTTGTGACAGACAGCGATCTCCTGTATGGCTGTCAATGAAGCAGCTAAAAGCCGTGCTAGGGAGAGGAGGAGATGCGGCTTCCAGCTGATTCATTGAAAGCCATACAGGAGATCGCTGCTTGTCACCACAACCACCGCCACTCCTCCCACACACCCCTAGTCCTGGAGCTGCTCGCCGCCCCCACCGCTGCACAGAACGGTTCAGTTTTCTTTCTGGCCCCCCCTCTCCCCCCTCCCACCGCCGCTGTGTTCCGCACCGCTGTGTTTTTTCTCTGTGTATCAGTATCGGTATAAATATTGGTATCAGTATCAGTGTCAGTATCAGTATAAGTATCAGTATAAGTATCAGTATAAGTATCAGTATAAGTATCGGTATCGGTATCAGTGTCAGTATAAGTATAAGTATCAGTATAAGTATCAGTATAAGTATCGGTATCGGTAACAGTGTCAGTATCAGTATAAGTATCAGTATAAGTATCAGTATAAGTATCAGTATCGGTATAAATAAGTTATCAGTATAAGTATCAGAATCAGTAGCAGTATTAGTATCATAAGTATCAGTATAAGTATCAGTATAGGTATCAGTGTCAGTATTGGGATAAGTATCAGTGTCAGTATTGGTGTAAGTAGCAGTAAAAGTAGCAGTATGGGTATCAGTATAAGTATCAGTATCATTATCAGTAAAGGTATAAGTATTAGTATCGGTATAAATATCAGTATAAGTATCAGTATGGGTATGCGTATCGGTATAAGTATCGGTGTCAGCATAGTTATGGGTATCAGTATATGTAGCAGTATCGGTATAAGTATTGGTATCAGTATCGGTGTCAGTATAGGTATGGTATCAGTATCAGTATCGGTATCAGTATAGGTGTCAGTATAGGTATCAGTATAAGTGTAAGTATCGGTATCAATATAAGTATCGGTGTCAGAATAGGTATGGGTATCAGTATAGGTAAGGGTATCAGTATCAGTATAGGTACAGGTATGGGTATCAGTATCGGTATGGGTATCAGTATCGATATGGGTATCAGTATCGGTACAGGTATGGGTATTAGTATTGATATAGTATGGGTATCAGTATCAATATCGGTATGGGTATCAGTATCGGTATGGGTATCAGTATAGGTATGGGTATCAGTATTGGTATGGGTATCAGTATCAGTATAGGTAGGGTATCAGTATAGGTATCAGTATCAGTATCGGTATATGGGTATCAGTATCAATATCGGTATAGGTATGGGTATCAGTATCAATATCGGTATAGGTATAGGGTATCAGTATAAGTATTGGTATCAGTATTAATATAGGTATCAGTATCAATATCGGTATCAGTATCAATATAGGTATCAGTATCAATATCGGTATCAGTATCAATATAGGTATGGGTATCAGTATCGGTATGGGTATCAGTATCGGTATGGGTATGGGTATCAGTATAAGTATTGGTATCAGTATCAATATACAGTTGCAAGAAAAAGTATGTGAACCCCTATTACGTGGAGTAAGCATGAATTGGGCATAAAATGTGCTCTGAACATCATCTAAGTCACAACAATAGAAGAACACAGTCTGCTGAACATAATACTACACAAACATTAGATGTTGCCATGGTGTAATTGCACATAACATGTAAACATTCACAGTGCAGGGAGGAAAAAGTATGTGAGGCCCTAGCTTAATGACTTCTCCCAGAGCTAATTGGAGCCAGGAGTGAGCCAACCTTGACTCCAATCAGTGTGATGATATTGGATGTGTTGCTGACAGCTGTCCTGCCCTTAAAAAACACACACCTGTTTTGGGTTTACTGGTTTCAAGAAGCACTGTCTGATGTGAACCATGCCTCGCAGAAAAGAGCTCTCAGAAGACCTACGATCAAGAATTGTTGACTTGCATGAAGCTGAAAAGGGTTACAAAAGTATCTCCAAAAGCCTTGATGTTCATGTGTCCACGGTAAGACAGACTGTCTACAAATGGAGAAAGTTTAGCACTGTTGCTACTCTCCCTAGGCGGGGTCGTCCTGTAAAAATGACTGCAAGAGCACAGCGCAGAATGCTGCATGAGGTAAAGAAGAATCCCAGAGTGTCAGCTAAAGACCTACAGAAATCTCTGGCACATGCTAACATTTTTGTTGACACATCTACAATAAGGAAAACATTAAACAAGAATGGAGTACATGGGAGGACACCACGGAGGAAGCCATTGCTGGCCAAAAAGAATATTGCAGCACGTTTGAAGTTTGGAAAAGAGCACCTGGATGTTCCACAGCACTACTGGCAGAATATACTGTGGACAGATGACACCAAGATTGAGTTGTTTGGGAAGAACACACAACACTATGTGTGGAGAAACAAAGGCACAGCACACCAACATCAAAACCTCATCCCCACTGTGAAACATGGCGGATCAAGCATCATGGTTTGGGGCTGCTTTGCTGCCTCAGGGCCTGGACGGATTGTTGTCATTGATGGGAAAATGAATTCCAGAGTTTATCAAGACATTTTGCAGGAAAACGAATGACCATCTGTCCGCCAACTGAAGCTCCGCAGAGGATGGGTGATGCAACAGGACAATGACCCAAAGCATACAAGTATTCAACAAAACAATGGCTGCAACAGCACAGAATACGCCTTCTGGAGTGGCCCAGTCAGAGTCCTGACCTCAACCCGATTGAAATGCTGTGGCATGACCTTAAGATGAGCGATTCACACCAGACATCCCAAGAATATTGCTACACTGAAACAGTTTTGTGAAGAGGAGTGGTCCAAAATGACTCCAGATCGTTGTGCAGGTCTGATCTGCAACTACAGGAAAATGTTTGGTTGAGGTTATTGCTGCCAAAGGAGGGTCAACCAGTTATTAAGTCCAAAGGTTCACATACTTTTTCTTCCCTGCACTGTGAATGTTTACATGTTATGTGCAATTAAACCATGGCAACATCTAATGTTTGTGTAGTATTATGTTCAGCAGACTGTGTTCTTCTATTGTTGTGACTTAGATCATGTTCAGAGCACATTTTATGCCCAATTTATGAAAAACTCCACGTAATCCCAAGGGGTTCACATACTTTTTCTTGCAACTGTAGGTATCAGTATCAATATCGGTATCAGTATCAATATAGGTATCAATATCGGTATCAGTATCAATATCGGTATCAGTATCAATATAGGTATCAATATCGGTATCAGTATCAATATCGGTATCTGTATCAATATCGGTATCAGTATCAATATCGGTATCAGTATCAATATAGGTATCAGTATCAATATCGGTATCAGTATCAATATCGGTATCAGTATCAATATCGGTATCAATATAGGTATCAGTATCAATATCGGTATCAGTATCAATATCGGTATCAGTATCAATATCGGTATCAATATAGGTATCAGTATCAATATCGGTATCAGTATCAATATCGGTATCAGTATCAATATCGGTATCAGTATCAATATCGGTATCTGTATCAATATCGGTATCAGTATCAATATCGGTATCAGTATCAATATCGGTATCTGTATCAATATCGGTATCAGTATCAATATAGGTATCAATATCGGTATCAGTATCAATATCGGTATCAGTATCAATATCGGTATCAGTATCAATATCGGTATCAGTATCAATATAGGTATCAATAATCGGTATCAGTATCAATACCCATACCTATCAGTAATAATAACCGATAATTGTTGGCTTCACGTTTCAGGGTGTCCGGCGGCGAGTTGTTTGAGCGAATTATCGATGAGGATTTCGAGTTGACGGAAAGAGAAGTCATCAAGTACATGAAGCAGATTTCGGAGGGGGTGGAGTTCATCCACAAGCAAGGGATCGTCCACCTGGACCTGAAACCCGAGAACATCATGTGCGTCAACAAGACCGGAACCAAAATCAAACTCATCGACTTCGGCCTGGCCAGGAGACTAGGTACCGTGCGTGTCCCTGGGGGTGTCGCCCATAGAAAATACGGGGTACAGGAGTTTATCGCTGTTTCACAGGCGCACCCAAATTTAACTCATTAAAAAAATGGCCGCACTGTCTCTTAAAAATCCCAAAGTGCGATTGCGCATACAATATGACTATCAAACCATATTTCTATAGAGAAAATGTAAGGATTGACATGTTTGGTATCTATTTACTCGGCGCAACCTCATCTTTTATATTTTAACAAAAATGTGGGTCATTGCAGTAATATCGTGTGCCATAAAAAAATTGTGGGGCACAGGTGTCAAACACAAGGCCTGCGGGCCATTTCATGTGGCCCTTGCACCTCTCCTGCAGGTACCCCCTTGTCTCCCCACCTTCTCTCAGCAGTCGGCAGCAGAGAGGAGAATAGAACTCCTCTGCCAAATCCTGCACCTCTCAGTGCAGCCGCAGCCCCCCCTCATCTCTGCCTCCCCCGGTCTCAGCATTCAGCAGACTCTGGTAACTGACTCCATTCCTCCTCTGGTCCTCCTCCAGACCCTGCACTTTGTTTTCCAGCTCTGCCCCCAAAGGGGGTGCACGGTGATGTTAGGGAGGGTGTGGGATTCTTGACATCTGATGTAATGGGGGGGGGGGTACTCTGGACATCTGATGTAATGGGGGGGTGGGGTGCTCTGGACCTCTGATGTAATGGGAGGGTGGGGTAGTCTGGACATCTGATGTAATGGGGGGTGGGGGGCTCTGGACATCTGATGTAATGGGAGAGTGGGGTACTCTGGACATCTGATGTAATGGGGGGGGGTGCTCTGGACATCTGATATAATGGGGGGGGTGGGGTACTCTGGACATCTGATATAATGGGGGGGTGGGGGGGTACTCTGGACATCTGATGTAATGGGGGGGTGGGGTACTCTGGACATCTGATATAATGGGGGGGGGGGTACTCTGGACATCTGATGTAATGGGGGGGGTGGGGTACTCTGGACAGCTGATGTAATGGGGGGGTGGGGTACTCTGGACATCTGATGTAATGGGGGGGTGGGGTACTCTGGACATCTGATGTAATGGGGGGGGGGGTACTCTGGACCTCTGATGTAATGGGGGGGGGGGTACTCTGGACATCTGATGTAATGGGGGGGTGGGGTGCTCTGGACATCTAATGCAATGGGGGGGGGGTGTTCTGGACATCTGATGTAATGGGGGTGGGGTGCTCAGGACATCTTATGTAATGGGGGGTGGGGTGCTCTGGACATCTGATGTAATGGGGGGTGGGGTACTCTGGACATCTGATGTAATGGGGGGTGGGGTACTCTGGACATCTGATGTAATGGGGGGGTGGGGTACTCTGGACATCTGATGTAATGGGGGGTGGGGTACTCTGGAAATCTGATGTAATGGGGGGTGGGGTACTCTGGACATCTGATGTAATGGGGGGTGGGGGTACTCTGGAAATCTGATGTAATGGGGGGTGGGGTACTCTGGACATCTGATGTAATGGGGGGTGGGGTACTCTGGACATCTGATGTAATGGGGGGGGTGGGGTACTCTGGACATCTGATGTAATGGGGGGTACTCTGGACATCTAGTTTTACAGATACAACCGGCCCTTTGAGGGCACCCATAATGCTGATATGACCCGCCATGAAATGGAGTTTGACACCCCTGCTCTAGGGTCTCTGCTTTAAGAAAACATATCACGTTTGGAGTGTTTTGTATAATCTTCAGGTCCAAAATGAGTTTTTAATCGTGCAAAAAAAAAAGGGCGAAAAAACTAGAAACAAAAGGGTTAAAGTAAAAGAAACCCCCAAATTTTGGGTTGTTCCCAGCAAATTAATAGCGAGAAAATGTTCCAATGCGGACACTAGTTCTGGTGACCTGGGGGGACCCTCCCAAAGAATCCACAGACACCAGTTCTGGTGACCTGGGGGGACCCTCCCAAAGAATCCACAGACACCAGTTCTGGTGACCTGGGGGGACCCTCCCAAAGAATCCACAGACACCAGTTCTGGTGACCTGGGGGGACCCTCCCAAAGAATCCACAGACACCAGTTCTGGTGACCTGGGGGGACCCTCCCAAAGAATCCACAGACACCAGTTCTGGTGACCTGGGGGGACCCTCCCAAAGAATCCACAGACACCAGTTCTGGTGACCTGGGGGGACCCTCCCAAAGAATCCACAGACACCAGTTCTGGTGACCCTCGGGGGACCCTCCCAAAGAATCCACAGACACCAGTTCTGGTGACCTCGGGGGACCCTCCCAAAGAATCCACAGACACCAGTTCTGGTGACCTGGGGGGACCCTCCCAAAGAATCCACAGACACCAGTTCTGGTGACCTCGGGGGACCCTCCCAAAGAATCCACAGACACCAGTTCTGGTGACCTGGGGGGACCCTCCCAAAGAATCCACAGACACCAGTTCTGGTGACCTGGGGGGACCCTCCCAAAGAATCCACAGACACCAGTTCTGGTGACCTGGGGGGACCCCCCAAGGAATCCACATCATTTGCAGGGATTTTCCTTCACTGCCTCTGCCAGGGCTTCTAAACTTTCCCAATGGGGCCAAAGAGAACAGCAAATAACCTCTTCCCTATTCCAGCCAAAACATAAAAAAAAAAAAGAAAAATCCAAAAATTCATCCCTTGAATGTCAGGAACATTCATTCAAATCGAGCGAAAGGTCACCGTAATTTTTCTAAGAGATTCATTCCTGCGTCTTCGGCTCCATCTATTGGCCAAGATGCGGTATCGTTTTCTCATTGAGGTATTTCAGAAAGCTATGCTGCACTTTGGTCGCCGGGTGGAGCCGACGAGGCGATTGTTCTCTTGCAAAAATGACAGAATGGCAGACGTTTCATTCAGTTGGCGCAAAGTCTTCCTACATTCGCGCGACAAACGTTTTGTAAACAGACGCCCCTTCGTTTTTTATGTTTTCACCCGACATCCGCACGTTTGGAGAAAATGTGTAAAAAAATTTGGGTGAAAGCATTTTATAGACCGGCAGGTTCAAGACTAAAGGCAAGGCTCAGACCTTGTGTGTGTCGGGAACGAGCGTAAATCTGCGTGCAGCTGCGCAGCAGCGCCATTAATTGTTGTTGGCGCCCCCTACGTATCGGCTTACGCACACGATTTTGCATTCACCATGTGATTTGGATTTTGGAAAGGGGTCAGGGACGGCTTTTCTGTGTTTCTAGCGCATAGGACAGCTGCTTAAAATGAATGGGCTGCCCAACACGCGGCGCGCGGGAACGCACATGTACCCATCGCACCTCGCGGCGTGAACCTAAAATGAGAGATTTCCATCATCCGTTCTTCTCTAACCCCAAAAAAGAACCATTAAATGGCGAGGAGTTGTGTGGAGGGCGGAGAGCTCCTCCTACGTGGTCTGTCCTCCGGTTTTCGCCGTTTTTAAAGACGTGCCATAGACTCCGTCTAATCAGAAGCAGGGGCGGACTGACCGTTTGGAAACTCGGGCACTGCCCGAGGGCCCGGGGTCAGTAGGGGGCCCCATGAGATGCCCCTGGTACCTTTTTCATAGGCTTTTTTGAGTTTGGGCAAGGACACAGGGGCCCCATGATCCCCTATTGCCCGGGGTCCCCATGAGTTGTCAGTCCACCCCTGATCGGAAGCCCCATCTTCAGATCCGCTCCTGACCCCCATCCCTCGCACAGCTCCTTGGGTCCCTCGCACAGCTCCTTGGGTCCCTCGCACGGCTCCTTGGGTCCCTCGCACGGCTCTTTGGGGCTCTAGTTGCGGGTCGGACATTCTTCTCCAAGTCATGGGATTTGATTTCTGCCCTTTTTTGGTTGTTTGATGTCTCCTGGAAACTTCACGGCAGATAATCGGCCGGCAGGAGATTCGTCTGTTAACTCTTCGTGACTTTCCACAAACTTCTGTTAGTGCTCCGCAGTGTCTGACCCCAACTGTGTACATTGTCCTGGGGGACCCCCAAGTGTCAGGGTGTCATTGTCCTGGGGGACCCCCAAGTGTCAGGGTGTCATTGTCCTGGGGGACCCCCAAGTGTCAGGGTGTCATTGCTCTGAACCCACAAGTGTGAGTGTGTAATTGTTCTGGAACCCCCAAGTGTCAGAGTTTCATTGTCCTGGGGGCTCCCAAGTGTCAGGGTGTCATTGTCCTGGGGGACCCCCAAGTGTAAGGGTGTCATTTTCCTTGGGGACCCCCAAGTGTCAGGGTGTCATTGTTCTGAACCCCCAAGTGTCACTGTGTCATTGTTCTTGGACCCCCAAGTGTCAGTGTGTAATTGTTCTGGAACCCCCAAGTGTCAGTGTGTCATTGTCCTGGAACCCCCAAGTGTCAGAGTGTCATTGTCCTGGGGGACCCCCAAGTGTCAGTGTGTCATTGTCCTGGGGGACCCCCAAGTGTCAGGGTGTCATTGTTCTGAACCCCCAAGTGTCAGGATGTCATTGTTCTTAACCCCCAAGTGTCGTCAGGACCCCCAAGTGTCATTGTTCTGGGACCCCCAAGTGTCAGTGTGTCATTGTTCTGGGACCCCAAGTGTCAGTTTGTCATTGTTCTGGGACCCCCAAGTGTCGACGTGTCATTGTTCTGGGGACCCCCAAGTGTCAGTGTGTCATTGTTCTGGGACCCCCAAGTGTCAGTGTGTCATTTTTCTGGACCCCCAAGTGTCAGTGTGTCATTGTTCTGGGATCCCCAAGGGTAAGGATGTCATTGTTCTGAACCCCAAAGTGTCAGGGTGTCATTGTCCTGGGGGACCCCCAAGTGTCAGGGTGTCATTGTCTGAACCCACAAGTGTCAGTGTGTAATTGTTCTGGGAACCCCCCAAGTGTCAGAGTTTCATTGTCCTGGGGGCCCCAAGTGTCAGGGTGTCATTGTCCTGGGGGACCCCCAAGTGTAAGGGTGTCATTTTCCTGGGGACCCCCAAGTGTCAGGGTGTCATTGTTCTGAACCCCCAAGTGTCACTGTGTCATTGTTCTTGGACCCCCAAGTGTCAGTGTGTAATTGTTCTGGAACCCCCAAGTGTCAGTGTGTCATTGTCCTGGAACCCCCAAGTGTCAGTGTGTCATTGTCCTGGAACCCCCAAGTGTCAGAGTGTCATTGTCCTGGGGGACCCCCAAGTGTCAGTGTGTCATTGTCCTGGGGGACCCCCAAGTGTCAGTGTGTCATTGTTCTGGAACCCCCAATTGTCAGTGTGTCATTGTTCTGGAACCCCCAAGTGTCAGTGTGTCATTGTCCTGGAACCCCCAAGTGTCAGAGTGTCATTGTTCTGGGGGACCCCCAAGTGTCAGTGTGTCATTGTCCTGGGGGACCCCCAAGTGTCAGGATGTCATTGTTCTGAACCCCCAAGTGTCAGGATGTCATTGTTCTTAACCCCCAAGTGTTGGTGTGTCATTGTTCTGGGACCCCCAAGTGTCAGTGTGTCATTGTTCTGGGACCCCCAAGTGTCAGTTTGTCATTGTTCTGGGACCCCCAAGTGTCGATGTGTCATTGTTCTGAGGGACCCCCAAGTGTCAGTGTGTCATTGTTCTGGGACCCCCCCCAAGTGTCAGTGTGCCATTTTTTTTGGACCCCCAAGTGTCAGTGTGTCATTGTTCTGGGATCCCCAAGGGTCAGGATGTCATTGTTCTGAACCCCAAAGTGTCAGGGTGTCATTGTCCTGGGGGACCCCCAAGTGTCAGTGTGTCATTATTTGTGGACCCCCAAATGTCAAGGTGTCATTGTTCTGGACCCCCAAGTGTCAGTGTGTCATTGTTCTGGATCCCCAAGTGTCAGTGTGTCATTGTTCTGGATCCACAAGTGTCAGTGTGTCATTGTTCTGGACCCCCAAGTGTCAGTGTGTCATTTTTTCTGGACCCCCAAATGTCAAGGTGTTGTTGTTCTGGACCCCCAAATGTCAGTGTGTCATTGTTCTGGGATCCCCAAGTGTCAGTGTGTCATTGTTCTGAACCCCCATGTGTCAGTTTGTATTTGTTCTGAACCCCCAAGTGTCAGTTTGTCATTGTTCTGTATCCCCAAGTGTCAGTGTGTCATTGTTCTGGACCCCCAAGTGTCAGCGTGTCATTGTTCTGGACCCCCAAATGTCAAGGTGTCGTTGTTCTGGACCCCCAAGTGTCAGTGTGTCATTGTTCTGAACCCCCAAGTGTCATTGTGTCATTGTTCTGAACCCCCAAGTCAGTTTGTCATTGTTATGGATCCCCAAGTGTCAGTGTGTCATTGTTCTGGACCCCCAAGTGTCAGTGTGTCATTGTTCTGAACCCCCAAGTGTCAGTGTGTCATTGTTCTGGACCCCCAAGTGTGTGTCATTGTTCTGGATCCACAAGTTCAGTATGTCATTGTCTGGGACCCCCAAGTGTCAGCATGTCATTGTTCTGGGACCCCCAAGTATCAGTGTGTCATTGTTCTGGACCCCCAAGTGTCAGTGTGTTATTGTTCTGAGGGACCCCCATGTCAGGATGTCATTGTTCTGAACCCCCAAGTGTCAGTGTGTTCATTGTTCTGGGGACCCCCAAGTGTCAGTTTGTCATTGTTCTGGATCCCCAAGTGTCAGGCGTGTCATTGTTCTGGACCCCCAAGTGTCAGTGTGTGTCATTGTTCTGGACCCCCAAGTGTCAGTTTGTTATTGTTCTGGACCCCCAAGTGTCAGTGTGTCATTGTTCTGAACCCCCAAGTGTCAGTGTGTCATTGTTCTGGACCCCCAAGTGTCAGTGTGTCATTGTTCTGGATCCACAAGTGTCAGTATGTCATTGTCCTGGGACCCCCAAGTGTCAGCATGTCATTGTCCTGGGACCCCCAAGTGTCAGTGTGTCATTGTCCTGGGACCCCCAAGTATCAGTGTATCATTGTTCTGGACCCCCAAGTATCAGTGTGTTATTGTTCTGAGGGACCCCCAAGTGTCAGAATGTCATTGTTCTGAACCCCCAAGTGTCATGTGTTCTTGTTCTGAGGGACCCCAAGTGTCAGGATGTCATTGTTCTGGATCCCCAAGTGTCGGCGTGTCATTGTTCTGAACCCCCATAGTGTCAGTTTGTCATTGTTCTGGGACCCCCAAGTGTTGGCGTGCCATTATTCTGGGACCCCCAAATGTCAGTGTGCCGTTATTCTGGATCCCCCAAGTGTCAGTGTGTCATTGTTCTGAAATCCCAAGTGTCAGTGTGTCATTGTTATGGGACCCCCAGGTGTCAGTGTTTCATTGTTCTTGAATCCCCAAGTGTCAGTGTGTCATTATTCTGGACCCCCAAGTATCAGTGTGTTATGCCCCCCCCCCCAAGGTGTCAGTGTGTACATGTTGCTGGGGTCAGGGGTGTAGAATGCAGTGCGTATGGGGCAGACGGGATTTTATACTTCTGATGTTTTGGGTCTCTGTCGGTCTCATATTTCAGATTTCCTGGAATTGGGGGGGGGTACATTTCCTGTATTAGATGTATTGGGGTACACTTCGCCGAGCAGGCAATAACTCCATCCTTTTCTATTGCAGAGAGCACACCAAACCTCAAAGTCTTGTTTGGGACCCCCGAATTCGTGGCCCCTGAGGTGATCAACTATGAGCCCATCGGCTACGCCACGGACATGTGGAGCATCGGGGTCATCTGCTACATCCTGTAAGTTCTGCATGGAAGGGGTTAATGCCCCAATCTCCTGTGTTCCCATAAGCTCCTTAGATCCCCCACCCCACATGGGGTGTTGGCTGAATCTGTCCAGGGCACATCTTCAGAGTCAGGTGCCCACCCCGCCGCCCGTCTCCCACCCAGCCAAGTCCTGCAGCTCTTTGATCCGTTTACTTTTGCATTCCGAGCAAGAAAACGTCTCCAGCGTCTGTCGGGACTCATCTTCCTTAAAATGGGTATCAGAGGCGGCGCGGCGGAGGCGCGAGGAATTCTGCCGCTTATCTCCAACCGAACGGCCAACTATCCGTCCAAAATATTCACATCCACTCCAATCAGTGCATCTGATTCCTTTTTTTTTTTTTTTTTTTTTAATCCCGTTGAACCAGTCTTGCAGTTTAATCACCCAACTACCATAAAATCCAGCCTGAGGACGACTATTCACTATCCGCTGGTCATTGGTCGATAAATGAGCTTCTGCTATTTATAAAGCAGCAATTCTTAATTATTTTTTGCAAAATCAACTTAAAAAGAATTGTGAGGCAGCCAGGCTTCTAGCATTTTCAGAGGAAGGTCAGCGATGGAGGTCTCCCAACTTCTCCAATGACAGGTTTGAGGCCATAAGCAGCTGAAATCCAACATGTTCTCATGTGCTGCCATCTAATGGTGGATTGAGGAATTGCTGTACAGTGGGGGAAAATAACAATTTGATCCCCGGCAGATTTTGAACATTTTTCCCACTCAAAGACATGACAGGTCTATCATTTGTATTATCTGTGTATTTTAAATGATAGAGACAGAATATCAACCAAAATCCTGAAAAAACAAATGATACAAATGTTATAAATGGAGTTGCAGTTCAGTGAGTAAAATAAGTATTTGATCCCCAAGCAAAACTTGACTTAGTAGTTGGTGGAGGAACCCTTGTGTTGGTGAGGTGAGCACAGAGGTAAAGATGTTCCTTGTAGTTGGTGGAGGAACCCTTGTTGGTGAGCGCAGAGGTGAGACGTTCCTTGTAGTTGGTGGAGGAACCCTTGTTGGTGAGCACAGAGGTGAGACGTTCCTTGTAGTTGGTGGAGGAACCCTTGTTGGTGAGCACAGAGGTGAGACGTTCCTTATAGTTGGTGGAGGAACCCTTGTTGGCGAGCACAGAGGTAAGACGTTTCCTTGTAGTTGGTGGAGGAACCCTTGTTGGCGAGCACAGAGGTGAGACGTTCCTTGTAGTTGGTGGAGGAACCCTTGTTGGCTTGAGCACAGAGGTGAGACGTTCCTTGTAGTTGGTGGAGGAACCCTTGTTGGCTAGCACAGAGGTAAGACGTTTCTTGTAGTTGGTGGAGGAACCCTTGTTGGCGAGCACAGAGGTGAGATGTTCCTTGTAGTTGGTGGAGGAACCCTTGTTGGCGAGCACGTTCCTTGTAGTTGGTGGAGGAATCCTTGTTGGCGAGCACAGAGGTGAGACGTTCCTTGTAGTTGGTGGAGGAACCCTTGTTGGCGAGCACAGAAGTGAGACGTTCCTTGTAGTTGGTGGAGGAACAGAGGTGAGACTTGTTGGTGAGCACAGAGGTGAGACATTCCTTGTAGTTGGTGGAGGAACCCTTGTTGCGAGCACAGAGGTGAGATGATTCCTTGTAGTTGGTGGAGGAACCCTTCCTTGTTGGTTGTGCGAGCGCAGCAGGTGAGACGTTTCTTGTAGTTGGTGGAGGAACCCTTGTTGGCGAGCACAGAGGTGAGATGTTCCTTGTAGTTTGGTGGAGGAACCCCTTGTTGGCGAGCACAGAGGTGAGACGTTCCTTGTAGTTGGTGGAGGAGGAACCCTTGTTGGCGAGCACAGAGGTGAGACGTTCCTTGTAGTTGAGTTGGTGGAGGAACCCTTGTTGGCGAGCACAGAGGTGAGACGTTCCTTGTAGTTGGTGGAGGAACCCTTGTTGGCGAGCATAGAGGTGAGATGTTCCTTGTAGTTGGTGGAGGAACCCTTGTTGGCGAGCACAGAGGTGAGACGTTCCTTGTAGTTGGTGGAGGAACCCTTGTTGGCGAGCACAGAGGTGAGACGTTCCTTGTAGTTGGTGGAGGAACCCTTGTTGGCAAGCACAGAGGTGAGACGTTCCTTGTAGTTGGTGGAGGAACCCTTGTTGGCGAGCACAGAAGTGAGACGTTCCTTGTAGTTGATGGAGGAACCCTTATTGGCGAGCAAAGAGTTCCTTGTGAGACGTTCCTTGTAGTTGGTGGAGGAACCCTTGTTGACCAGCACAGAGGTGAGACGTTCCTTGTAGTTGGTGGAGGAACCCTTGTTGGCGAGCACAGAGGTGAGACGTTTCTTGTAGTTGGTGGAGGAACCCTTGTTGGCGAGCACAGAGGTGAGACGTTCCTTGTAGTTGGTGGAGGAACCCTTGTTGGCGAGCACAGAAGTGAGACGATCCTTGTAATTGGTGGAGGAACCCTTGTTGGCGAGCACAGAGGTGAGACGTTTCTTGTAGTTGATGGAGGAACCCTTGTTGGGTTGGTGGTGGAACCCTTGGTTGAGCACAGAGGTGAGAACGTTTCTTGTAGTTGGTGGAGGAACCCTTGTTGGCAAGCACAGAGGTGAGACGATCCTTATAGTTGGTGGAGGAACCCTTGTTGGCGAGCACAGAGGTGAGACGTTCCTTGTAGTTGGTGGAGGAACCCTTGTTGGTGAGTACAGAGGTGAGACGTTCCTTGTGATTGGTGAAGGAACCCTTGTTGGCAAGCAAAGAGGTGAAACGTTCCTTGTAGTTGGTGGAGGAACCCTTGTTGGAGGAATCCTTGTTGGCGAGCACAGTGGTGAGATGTTTCTTGTAATTGGTGAAGGAACCCTGTGGTCTCAACTGCCTTGAGATCATTCACAAAGCTCCTCCCGTGTAGTTCTGGGATGATCCCTCACTTTTTTCATGATCATCCTTACCCCATGAAGTGAAAGCTTGCATGGAGCTCCAGACAGAGGAGGGCAATTGATGGTTATTTATATTTCTTCCATTTGCGAATAATCGCTCCAATGTTTGTCTCCTTCTCACCAAGCTTTTTTCTGATGGTCTTGTAGCCCATTACAGCCTTGTGTAGGTCTACCATCTTGTCCCTGATGTCCTCTGACAGCTATTTGGTCTTGCCCATGGTGGTGGTGAGGTTTGAATGGAAGAGATTCTGTGGACAGGTGTCTTTTATACACATAAGGAGCTGTAATTAGGAGTGCCTTCTTCCATTGACAGGACTGATCTGTGTACCACATGAGCACATCGCCAGTCTGTGGGAGCCAGAATCATTGTTGGTTGGTGGGGATCAAATACTTATTTTACTCACCGAACTGCAACTCCATTTATGACATATGTATCGTGTTGTTTCTGGATCTAAGGTCCTGGAGTGGCCTAGCCAGTCTCCGGACCTGAATCCTGTAGAAGATTTATGGAGGGAGCTGAAACTTCGAGTTGCCAAATGTCAGCCAAGAAACCTTAAGGATTTGGAGAAGATCTGTAAAGCAGAGTGGACCACAATCCCTCCTGAGATGTCTGCCAACCTGGGAACCAACTTCAAGGAACGTCTTACCTCACACAAGGGTTTCTCCACCAAGTACTAAGTCATGTTTTGCTTGGGGATCAAATATTTATTTTACTCACCGAACTGCAACTCAATTTATGACATTTGTATTGTGTGGTTTTTTTTTTTTTCATTTTTGGTTAACATCGCTGCCGATGCGGGTGGACGTTTTCTAAACGTCTCCCCGCATCCATTGCCTGGGAGCGCGCAGCAAAACAATCGGTGCCCGCTGTGTCTGAACACTATGTGAGGTCCTGATCGTGTGATCACTGATTGGCCAATCAGTGATCACATGCAGGAGTAGTACACAAGAGGTCACTTCTGACATCATTGCTTACTACGTGTGAAATCTGTGAATGATCACAGAGGTCACATGGTACAGGGCCATTCGCAAGAGCCTTGTACCATGTGACAAGCTGTGACCAATCACAGCTCTCACGGTATTTCTCAATGGCTGCAGGAATGCAGTCAGAGAGAAGGAGAAATGATTGCTGTTACAGCCTTTATGGGTGTAAAAGCAATCAGTGTAAAAAAAAGAAAAAAAAATATTCATCACCCCCCACAAGTAGTACTGCTAAGGTGATGGTATGTTAAAAAAAAAAAAAAAAAAAACATAAAAAAAATCTTGACAATTATAATTTTTGGTTATAAACTAATTTGTTTTTTTTTTTTACTAAAAAGATAACGGAATAAATTTTGGCCAAGATTTATGAAGAAAGATTATTTATTTGCAAAATTTTATAAGAAAAACAAAATTTTTTGGACTTTTTTCATTTATATAGCAAAAAACATTAAAATCCCAGCGGTGAATAAATACCACCAAAATAAAGCTTTATCTGTCTCAAAAAAATGCTAACAAAAAATTCATATGGGTACAGTGTTGCATGACCGCGCAATTGTCATTCAAAGTGTGATTGCGCTGAAAGCTGAAAATTGGCCTGGGGGGGGGGGGAAAGCGTCCGGACAGGAAGGGGGGGAAAGTGTCCGGACTGGAAGGGGGGGAAAGTGTCCGGAAGGGGGGAAAGTGTCTGGAAGGGGGGGAAAGTGTCCGGACTGGAAGGGGGGGAAAGTGTCCGGGACTGGAAGGGGGGAAAGTGTCCGTAAAGTGTCCGGACAGGAAGGGGGTAAAAGTGTCCGGACTGGAAGGGGGGGAAAGTGTCCGGACTGGAAGGGGGTGAAAAGTGTCCCGACTGGAAGGGGGGGAAAGTGTCCGGACTGGAAGGGGGGAAAGTGTCCGGACTGGAAGGGGGTGAAAGTGTCCGGACTGGAAGGGGGGGAAAGTGTCCGGACTGGAAGGGGGGTGAAAGTGTCCTTGGACTGGAAGGGGGGGAAAGTGTCCGGACTGGAAGGGGGTGAAAGTGTCCGGACTGGAAGGGGGTTGAAGTGTCAGGACTGGAAGGGGGGGGGGAAGTGTCCGGACTGGAAGGGGGGGGAAAGTGTCCAGGACTGGAAGGGGGTAAAAGTGTCTGGAATGGAAGGGGGGGGGGGGGTTAATTAAAGCGTCCGGACTGGAAGGGGGGGAAAGTGTCCGGACTGGAAGGGGGTAAAAGTGTCCGGACTGGAAGGGGGGGGTAAAGTGTCCGGACTGGAAGGGGGGAAAGTGTCCGGACTGGAAGGGGGTGAAAAAGTGTGTCCGGAATGAAAGGGGGGGGGGAGCGTCCGGACTGGAAGGGGGAGAAAGTGTCCGGACTGGAAGGGGGTGAAAGTGTCCGGACTGGAAGGAAGGGGGTGAAAGTGTCCGGACTGGAAGGGGGGGAAAGTGGGGGGGGGGGAAGCGTCCGGACTGGAAGGGGGGAAAGTGTCCGGAATGAAAGGGGGGGGGGGGACTGGAAGGGGGGGAAAGCGTCCGGACTGGAAGGGGGGAAAGTGTCCGGACTGGAAGGGGGGAAAGTGTCTGGACTGGAAGGGGGGTGAAAGTGTCCGGACTGGAAGGGGGGGAAAAAGTCTCCGGACTGGAAGGGGGGGAAAGTGTCTGGACTGGAAGGGGGGGAAAGTGTCCGGACTGGAAAAGGGGGGGAAGTGTCCGGACTGGAAGGGGGGGAAGTGTCCGGACAGGAAGTGGTTGATATTCTGTCTCTATCATGTAAAATACCCCGATGATAATAATGATAGTTGGGCAAACTTCCACAATCTGTAGGGGATCAAATAATAATAATAATTATTATTATCATTATTATTATACAGGATTTATGGCGCCAACAGTGTGCTCAGCGCTTCACAATATATAGGAAGACAATACAGCAACAATACAGTTCAATACAAGAGGGATAGGAGGGCCCTGATCCTGGGAGCTTACAATCTAAGAGGGAGGGGCTAGTGGTACAAAAGATAGTAACTGTGGGGGATGGACTGGTAGGAGGAATAGAAGATTCCATTATTAGTTGAGGGCGGGGTAGGCTTCCCTGCAGAGATCGGTTTTCAGAGATCGCCTAAAAGTGAGCAGAGTAGGCGATAGTCTGATAAATTGGGGTAGAGAGTTCCAGCGGATGGGGGAAGCTCTGGAGAAGTCATTTTCTTCCCTGTATATTGTACAATCTCAGGAACTCATCTGAGTATTGTCTAGAATCATTTTTATACTTTCACAATCAGCTCATTTTTCCAGGCAGGCATTTCGGGGGGTCTACCCCCTTCTTCTAGATCCACAGAGGTGGAGCAACATGTCAGCTGAGGTTTTGCAGTTATCTGATTGGCCCGTCAGAGATCGTTCTGAAGTGTAATTTCTTCTCTCGCTACATTTAATCTTTGTAAGGAACAGACGTTCCCTCTGGAGTGCTGTCATGGGCAGGATGTTGCACTCACTGCTTCTCTCTTGCAGGGTGAGCGGTCTCTCGCCCTTTATGGGTGACAACGATAATGAGACGTTGGCGAATGTCACCTCCGCTACCTGGGACTTCGACGATGAAGCCTTCGATGAGATCTCAGAGGACGCCAAAAACTTCATCAGCACTCTGCTCAAAAAAGACATGAAGTGAGTCAGCTTCTGATCTTCCATCTCTTGTGTCGCATCGGTCATGGGGGGGGGGACGCGCCGCGCTCCAACCAGTGACCCGCCTTTCATTCAGAGAGAACCGCAATGGTTGGTGCTGCCCAGAGGTGTCCCTAGGGTTGGTGTCACCCGGTGCGGTAATATGTGGTGTCACCCCCTCCAGAGAGGATGTAGCGGTAAAATGAGTATCCCCTGAAGATATGTATCCCCGGAAGCGACTGCGCCTGTGCCGGTTTCAGGCCAAAGAAGCCGATCTCGGACTTTAGCACAGAGCCGGCACATGCGCAGTCGCTTCAGGGAATACTCATGTTATTGCTACACCAGGGCAGGGGCAGCTGTCACTGTGCCAGCACCCTGCTCCTGCACCCCCTGATGGTGTCACCTGGTGCAGCCCGCACCCCCCCTAGGGACGCCACTGGTGCTACAGTCTGCACGTTCACATAGATCTTCAACAGTTAATTATTTATTTTTTCTTTTTTTTTTTATTATTATTATTTATTTTCTTTTTTATTTTATAATTTTCTTTCTTTTATTATTTATTTATTATTTATTTTATTTATTTATTTTATTGTATTTATTTGTATTCATTTTTTTATTATTATTATTATTCATTTATTTATTTTTATTATCGTTTTCTTTCATTTATTTTTATGTATTTTATTGTATTTATTTATTATTTATTTTATTATTATTGTTATTAATATTATTATTCATTTATTTATTTTATTATTTAATTTATTTATTTTTTTTTTATCATTTTCTTTCTTTCTTTTATTATTTTTTTTTTTATTTATTTTATTGTATTTATTTTTATTTACTTTTTAATTGTTAATTGTTTATTACTATTCATTTATTTTTTTATTTATTTATTTTTATGTTTTTTTATTTTATTATTTTCTTTCTTTTATTATTTATTTTTTTTATTTATTTTACTGTATTTTTATTTTTATTATTAGTATTATTATTATTATTCATTTATGTTATTTTTTAATTTATTTTATTTGATTTTATAATTTTCTTTCTTTCTTTTATTATTTATTTTATTGTATTTATTTTTATTTATTTTTTAATTATTATTATTATTACTATTCATTTATTTTATTATTTATTTTATTTTATTATTTTCTTTTTCTTTCTTTTATTATTTTCTTTTTTATTTTTGTAAATAAATAAAAAATCGTTGTAGAGCTTAAAAAAAAGGGGCGTAGAGCTGAAAATACATTCTGCAGAGCTCAGTGAGGGGAGCTCTGGGAGCTGATTGGAGGGAAGGGACAACCCCCCCCCCCCCCCCATGCTGGAGCTCCCTCCCCTGTCACCATTTTTCTCTTGGTGTCAGGAAAACTTGTCAGAAGTGACTCATGCTGATAGCAGAGGAAGGAGGCAGCAGACAGAAATGACACTCAGTGCTCTGGACTGAGACAAGGACACACTATAGAGGGATGTGCTTTGTTCATATTTCATGTCTGAGGGTTACAACCACTTAAAGTAATGATGAAGGTATTGAGGAATAAAAACCCTCCCATAGAAGAAAGGGGGAGGTGAATGGGAAGGGCAGGAGGTGAATGTGGGAAGGGGGGAAGGGGGGAGGTGAATGGGAAGGGGGGAGGTGAATGGGACGGGGGGAGGAGAATGGGACGGGGGGAGGAGAATGGGAAGGTGGGAGGTGAACGTCATGGGGGGGAGGTGAATGGGAAGAGAGGGGAGGTGAATGGGAAGGGGGAAGGTGAATGGGACGGGGGGAGGAGAATGGGAAGGGGGGAGGAGAATGGGAAGGTGGGAGGTGAACGTCATGGGGGGGAGGTGAACGGGAAGAGGGGAGGTGAATGGGAAGGGGGAAGGTGAATGGGAAGGGGGGAAGGTGAATGGGACAGGGGGAGGTGAATGGAAAGGCGGGAGGTGAATGGGAAGGGGGATGGTGAATGGGAAGGGGGAAGGTGAATGGAAAGGCGGGAGGTGAATGGAAAGGTGGGAGGTGAATGGGAAGGGGGGAGGTGAATGGGACGGGGGGAGGTGGGAAGGTGGGGAAGGGGGGGAGGTGAATGGAGAGGCTGGAGGTGAATGGGAAGGGGTGTGGTGAATGGGAAGACGGGAGGTTGAAGGTGGGAGGTGAATGGGACGGGGGGAAGAGAATGGGAAAGGGGGAGGGGAATGGGATGAGGGGAGGGGAATGGGACTGTGGGAGGGGAATGGGATGAGGGGAGGGGAATGGCATAGGGGGAGGGGTTAATCTGACTCGTGGCTCATTAACTCCGTATTGTGTGGCCCTAACAGGAGTCGCCTGAACTGTACGCAGTGCCTGCAGCACCCTTGGCTCCAGCAGGACACCAACACCATGGAGGCCAAGAAACTGTCCAAGGAGCGGATGAAGAAGTACATGGCGCGGCGGAAGTGGCAGGTACATTCCCCTCCAGGCAGCAGTCAGGCACAGCGCTCCTCATGGGAGGGGCCTCACTTTTTGGAAATTAACTGCTGTGTTTGTTTTTTTTTTTTTTTTTTCTTTTTATGGTGTTCTTTCTGGTTTTTATGAGGATCAGATTTTTTGTCCAATGGGGTCATCACCCGGCAGATCTCGTGTTTCGTTTGTTCTGACGCGTTCCATGCGCTCTCCTCTGTCTTCCAGAAAACCGGGAATGCTGTGCGAGCCATCGGGCGTCTGTCTTCCCTGGCCATGATATCCGGTATGGGTGCCAGGAAGTCTTCAGGAGGTTCCCCCACCAGCCCATTGTGTGCAGAACTGGAGGCTGGAGAAGGTGAGTCCGCGGACCGCGACTGATGAGACTACACCCAGCCGGAAGACTAGGATAGGCTAGATCTAGGCTACACACTCCATGCGGCTGTGCAACATGAGAAATGCACAATTTGTGATTTTTCTTTTGTTTCATATCAGGAAATAGGCAGGAGCCAAGGGAGAGAATATTTAGTGGCCTTTCTGGCTTTTTACCAAACGTCCTGCATGAGAGAAACTCAGAGACTCAGAGTGAACGAGCTGCATGATATCTGACAAATCTCAAAGCTGTCCTCTATGTGATGCACGGCTCACCTTTACTGCCTGTATGTATTATTACTAAAATTAGGGGAACAAGATGGCACCCCCCTGGGATTGACAGGGAATAGAAAAAAATAGAATAGAATAGAAAAAAACAATAGAATAGAATAAAATAGAAGGAGCATACCTGTCCTCCGAAATTCCAATAGAATAAATTCGAATAACGAATCCGAAATAATGAAATGAAATTCGGATGCAAATCGAATCGAATTCGAATACGAAAAGAATAGAAAATTAAAGAACAGAATAGATTAGAAAATAGAAAAGAATAAAATAGAAAATTGTAGAATCAAATAGAATATAACTGTCTTCCGAAATTCAATTTTCCAATAGAAGAAAATTAAAATTCGAATAACGAGTCTGAAATAAAGAAATTCGGACGCCATTTGAATGGAATTCGAACATGAAAAGAACAGAATAGATAATAATAGAATAGATTAGAAAATATTTGAATAGAATAGAAAAAAATTGAAAGAATATAACTGTTTTCCGAGATTCTAATTTTGAACAGAATAAATTAGAAAAGAATAGAAAATAAGAATAGAATAGAACAGAATAAAAGAAAACAATACAATATAATAAAATACAATATAACTGTCTTCCGAAATTCAAATTTTGAATAGCATATATTCAGATTAGAATAGAATAGCATAGCATAGTATAACTGTTTTCTGCAAATCTAATTTTGAATAGAATAAATTTGAATAAAATTAGAAAAGAATAGAATAGAAAAAAAAACAATAGAATAGAATAAAATTGAACGAATATTTCTGTTTTCCGATATTCTAATTTTGAATAGAATAAATTTGAATAAATTAGAAAAGAATAGAATAGAAAAAAATTAGAATAGAATAAAATAGAATATAACTGTTTTATGATATTCTAATTTTGAATAGAATAAATTTGAATAAATTAGTAAAGAATAGAATAAAATAGAAAAAAGACAATAGAAAAAAATAGAAAAAGACAATAGAATAGAATAGAAAAAGACAATAGAATAGAATAAAAAAGAAGGAATATGACTGTTTTCCGATGTTCTAATTTTGAATAGAATAAATTTGAATAAATTAGAAAAGAATAGAATAGAACAAAAAACAATAGTATAGAATAAAATAAAATTAATAGATCCATCTTCTGAAATTCGAATTTCAAATAGAATAAATTAGAATTCTAATGCCAATTTAAATTTGTATTTGGTCGAATTGAATTAGAATCGATCTAAAATGGCTGCTGTATGGGGCCCCGTGGTTTCCAACATCAGCCTGGTTATGAGGTCAGATGCCGGCATTCATTACCGAGAACCAGATTGTAGGGTGAAGGGTTACCACAGATTTTCATTGCTGAGATATTACCGTCTTGTCATTTGTAACCCCTCCCCCGACCTCTCCTTTCAGATGACGGCCAGGCCTTCCTGGAGTCCGTGTCGGAGGAGAGACCTCCCATGAAGCCGGTCTTCACCAAGACCATATTGGATATCGAGGTGGTGGAGGGCAGCGCGGCCAGATTCGACTGCAGGATCGAAGGTACGTCTTCATCCTCCAAACATTTGTACATTAGAACGACAACCGGAGAAGCGGGTCAGGAGGAGACCCGGAGTCAGAGATGCCGATCCACAGTGAGATACATAGAATTGGTCATCACCGAGTGTCTGAGAACACATCCATGGTGGCCATCTATGGAGAACATTCGACTTGGAGGGAAAATCGCCTGACCACTTCATTTTATTCCCTTCAAAGTTGCTGGAGATGTTCTCACCCATTGGGGGATCCGAACCCCCTTTTAAATTGCTGGAGATGTTCTCACCCATTGGGGGATTCGAACTCCCTTCAAAATTGCTGGAGATGTTCTCACCATTGGGGGATCCGAACTCCCTTCAAAATTGCTGGAGATGTTCTCACCCATTGGGGGATCCCAACTCCCTCAAAGTTGCTGGAGATGTTCTCACCCCATTGGTGGGATCCCAACTCCCTTCAAAGTTGCTGGAGATGTTCTCACCCATTGGGGATCCGAACTCCCTTCAAAGTTGCTGGAGATGTTCTCACCCATTGGGGGATCCCAATGCCCTTCAAAGTTGCTGGAGATGTTCTCACCCATTGTGTGATCCGAACTCCCTTCAAAGTTGCTGGAGATGTTCTCACCCATTGGGGGATCCCAACTCCCTTCAAAATTGCTGGAGATGTTCTCACCCATTGGGGGATCCGAACTCCCTTCAAAGTTGCTGGAGATGTTCTCACCCATTGGGGGATCCGAACTCCCTTCAAAGTTGCTGGAGATGTTCTCACCATTGGGGGATCTGAACTCCCTTCAAAGTTGCTGGAGATATTCTCAAGCATTGGGGGATCTGAACCCCCTTTAAAATTGCCGGAGATGTTCTCACCTATTGGGGGATCCCAATTCCCTTCAAAATTGCTGCAGATGTTCTCCCATTGGGGGATCCCAATTCCCTTCAAAATTGCTGCAGATGTTCTCACCCATTGGGGGATCCCAACTCCCTTCAAAGTTGCTGGAGATGTTCTCACCCATTGGGGGATCCCAACTCCCTTCAAAGTTGCTGGAGATGTTCTCACCAATTGGGGGATGTCACTTACATCTTCAGGACTTGTCCCGACATTGCCCAATATTGGGAGTCCGTAGTCCACATCCTTCGTTCTGTTTCCTGAATTGCATTTTCCCCCTCTCTGCGTCGTGTCTGTCCACTGGACTTGGTTGAAGATCTTGCTCCCGCAGTAGCTGAACCGACACTACTGGGGCTTCTCTTATTTTATGCCAGGAAGGCCATCACCCTCTCTTAGAAGAACTCCACCCCTCCAACTGTCATGTTTTGGCAACAACTGGTTGCCCTAAAAAGTTTGACATGGTGTGGTCCAAGTGGCTTCAGGATGACTCCACAGCTCAAATGTAGGATGCCTTCAATGAAATGATGATGTTCCATGATTCATGTTGATTAGGATGTGTGTGTGGGGGGGGGGGTTCTCTGAGGCCTTCTTGGCCTCCACCTAATGGGCATTATCTCATCTTTACTGCCTTCTTATGGTATTAGCATGAGCCACACACACACACAAAGGAAACGGTGGCTCGGTTCTTCTAAGCCCCCGTTCACACTGAATACACTTTGAAATCGTGAATATGTCTATACAAGTTGCACCTGAAGTCGTAAAAAGTAGTGCAGGAACTACTTTCTGTTAGGGTTAGAGTTAGGGTGAAGATTGGAGGGTTAGGGTTAGAGGGTTGGGTTTAGAGCTAGGCTTAAGGTTAGGGTTGGAGAGTTAGGGTCAAGATTAGTGTTGGAAATTTAGAGTTTGAGGGTTAAGGTTAGGTTAGGGTTAGACTTAAGGTTAGGTTAGGGTTGGAGGGTTAGAAGTCAGGGTTGGAGAGATAGGGATAGAGTTAGAGGGCTAGAAGGTTAGGTTTACAGCTAGGTTAGGGTTGGAGGGTTAGGGATAAGATTAGGGTTGCACAGTTAGGATTAGAGTTAGAGGGTTAGAAGGATCAGTTTAGAGCTAGGCTTAACATTAGGGTTAGAGGGTTAGGGTTAGGGTTAGAGGGTTAGAAGGTAAAGTTTTAGAGCTAGGGTTAAGGTTAGGTTTGGAGGGTTAGAGTTGAGGTTAGAATTGGATTTAAGATTAGGGCTGGAGAGTTAGGATTAGGGTTAGAGGATTAGAAGGTAAGGATTAGAGCTAGGTTTAAGGTGGGGGTTAGGGTTGGAGGGTTAGAGTTAAGGTTAGGGTTGGGAGATAGGGATAGAGTTAGAGGGCTGGAAGGTTAGATTTACAGCTAGGTTAGGGTTGGAAGGTTAGAGTTAAGATTAGGTTTGGAGAGTTAGGATGAGTTAGAGGGTTAGAGTGAGAGTTTGAGTGTTAGGGTTAGAGTGAGAGTTTGAGTGTTAGGGTTAGAGTTAGAAGATTAGGGTTAGATTTAAGATTAGTGGTTAGGATTGGAGGGTTAGGGTTAGATTTAGAGGATTAGAAGGTTAGGTTTAGAGACAGCCTTAAGGTTAGGTTTGGATTTAAGATTAGGGCTGGAGAGTTAGGATTAGGGTTAGAGGAGTAGAGGGATAGGGTTAGAGTTTAGAGGGTTGGAAGGTAAGGTTTAGAGCTAGGCTTAAGGTGGGGGTTAGGGTTGGAGGGTTAGGATTAGAGTTAGAGGGTTAGAAGGTTAGATTTAGAGCAAGGTTTAGCATTAGGTTTGGAGGGTTAGGGTTGCAATTAGAGTTGGAGAGTTAGGATTAGAGTAGGGTTAGAGTGAGAGTTAGAGGGTTAGAGTGAGAGTTTGAGGGTTAGAATTAAGGTTAGAGGTGAGGACTGGAGGGTTAGAAGGTTAGGTTTAGAGACAGCCTTAAGGTTAGGTTTGGAGGGTTAGAGTTAAGGTTAGAATTGGATTTAAGATTAGGGCTGGAGAGTTAGGATTAGAGTTAGAGGACTAGAGGGATAGGGTTAGAGTTAGATGGTTAGAAGGTAACGTTAGCATTAGGCTTAAGGTGGGGGTTAGAGTTAAGGTTAATGTTGGAGAGTTAGGGTTAGAGGATTAGAGTGAGGGATAATGCTAGAGTTAGAAGGTTGGAGGGTTAGGAATTACGGCTAGGGTTAGGCTTCAACTTAAGTGTTGAGGTTTGTGTGAAGGTTAGGGTTGGAGGGTTGGAGTAAGGCCTTGGATTGAAGAGTTACGGTTACAGTTTAAGGTTCAAGTTAGAAGGTCAGAGTGAGGGACAGAGTTAGAAGTTTGGTTCTTAGAAATTAGGGTTAGGCTTCAAATGAAAGGTTGGGGTTAGAGTTAGGTTTGGGTTGGAGGGTTTGAGTAAGGCCTTGGTTTGAAGAGGTATGGTTACAGTTGAAGGTTTGAGTTAGAAGGTCGGAGTGAGGGATAAAGTTAGAGTTAGAATTTTGGGTTCTTAGAAATTAGAGTTAGGCTTCAAATAAAGGGTTGTGGTTAGAGCATGAGGGAAGGTTAGGGTTGGAGGGTTGGAGTAAGGCCTTGGGTTGAAGAGTTACGGTTACAGTTTACGGTTCAAATTAAAAGTTAAAGTGAGGGAAAGAGTTAGAGTTTAAATTTGGGTTCTTAGAAATTAGGGTTAGGTTTCAAATGAAGGGTCAGGGGTTAGTATATGAGTGAAGGTTGGGGTTGGAGGGTTGGAGTAAGTCCTTGGGTTGAAGAGTTCGGTACAGTTTACGGTTCAATTAAAAGGTTAAAGTGAGGGAAAGAGTTAGAGTTGGAAATTTGGGTTCTTAGAAATTAGGGTTAGGTTTCAAATGAAGGGTCGGGGGTTAGTATATGAGTGAAGGTTGGGGTTGGAGGGTTGGAGTAAGTCCTTGGGTTGAAGAGTTACGGTTACTAGAGTTAGAAGGTTGGAGGGTTAGGAATTAGGGCTAGGGTTAGGCTTCAATTTATGGGTTGATGTTTGTGTGACGGTTAGGGTTGGAGGGTTGGAGTAAGACCTTGGGTTGAAGAGTTACGGTTACAGTTGAAGGTTCGAGTTAGAAGGTTGGAGTGACAGACAGAGTTAGAGTTAGAACTTTGGATTCTTAGAAATTAGGGTTAGGTTTCAAATGAAGGGTTGGGGGTTAGAGTATGAGTGAAGGTTGGAGTTGGAGGGTTGGAGTGAGTCCTTGGTTTGAAGAGTTACGGTTACAGTTTAGGGTCGAGTTAGATGGTTGGAGTGAGGGACAGAGTGAGAGTTAGAAGTTTGGGTTCTTAGAAATTAGGGTTAGGCTTCAAATAAAGGGTTGGGATTAGAGTTAGAGTGAAGGTTGGGGTTGGAGGGTTGGAGTAAGTCCTTGGGTTGAAGAGTTACGGGTACTAGAGTTAGAAGGTTGGAGGGTTAGGAATTAGGATTAGGGTTAGGCTTCAATTTAAGGGTTGAGGTTTGTGTGAAGGTTAGGGTTGGAGGGTTGGAGTAAGACCTTGGGTTGAAGAGTTACGGTTACAGTTGAAGGTTCGAGTTAGAAGGTCGGAGTGAGGGACAGAGTTAGAGTTAGAACTTTGGATTCTTAGAAATTAGGGTTAGGTTTCAAATGAAGGGTTGGGGTTAGAGTATGAGTGAAGGTTGGGGGTTGGAGGGTTGGAGTAAGGCCTTGGGTTGAAGAGTTACAGTTACAGTTTAAGGTTCGACTTAGAAGGTCAGAGTGAGGGATAGACTTAGAAGGTCGGATTGAGGGATAGACTTAGAAGGTCGGAGTGGGGGATAGACTTAGAAGGTCGGAGTGAGGGATAGACTTAGAAGGTCGGAGTGGGGGATAGACTTAGAAGGTTAGGATCAAGGTCAGGATTAGAGTTGAAGAGCGTAGGCGTTTGTTCGCTGTTGGAACTTTCCTAAAAACTAAACACTTCTTTTTTTGCTCTCCAGGTCATCCCGACCCCGAGGTGATCTGGTACAAGGACGATCATCCCATCAAGGAGTCTCGCCACTTCAAGATAGAGTACGACGAAGATGGCAACTGCTCTCTCACCATCTCGGAGGTGTGCGGTGACGATGACGCCAAGTACACGTGCAAATCCATCAACAGCCAAGGGGAGGCGTCCTGCACCGCTGAGCTCATTGTGGAGGTGATGGCGGAGGAGGAGGAGAAGAAGAGGAGGAGGAAGAAGAAGAGGAGGAGTGATGGATATCCCGTGTCGGACTTATCTCTATTGAGGGGACTTTCCCATCCAGATCCCAGAGAGACACTTCTTAGAGAACCTGGAAGCCATATTTACATGCACAGTTTGAAGAGCACGTCGGCGGCCAACCAGATGAGAGTTGTTCCTTTTCTCCGAGGGCATTATCGCTGCTCAGCCGTAACAGACAAAACGATGACTCTGGGGGCGGCGGGGGTGGGGTTTGGGGGGGGGGGGGTTCAGGCTGGCTCTGTTATTAGAGAAACACACCGGATTGTGGATCTGGGGGGAGAGTGATGGGATGGCGGCAGGAGGGCGAAGTGCGAAGATTTGTACCCCTTTGCTCACCGTAGAGTTGCCTTTCTTCTCAGCACAGTTTTTGGAATGACGTAAAGTTACCACTTTAGCACCACCTGTATGTAAAATGGCCACGTGATAATATAACTCCGTTTTCACTTTAGTTTTACTTTTTTGGGGGTTTTTCTAGTCTGCCCATGACTGCCGCACACGCGTGCACAGATTCGAATGTCTAGCGGCTGTGTATGGAAGCTTGATTGTATACACCTGTGGCCATGGAGGGGATTGGAACACCTGAATCACATGATATGGAGGGGATTGGAACACCTGAATCACATGATTGGGAGGGGATTGGAACACCTGAATCACATGATTGGAGGGGATTGGAACACCTGAATCACATGATATGGAGGAGATTGGAACACCTGAATCACATGATTGGGAGGGGATTGGAACATCTGAATCACATGGTTGGAGGGGATTGGAACACCTGAATCACATGATATGGAGGGGATTGGAACACCTGAATCACATGATATGGAGGGGATTGAAACATCTGAATCACGTGATTGGAGGGGATTGGAACATCTGAATCACGTGATTGGAGGGGATTGGAACATCTGAATCACATGATTGAGAGGGGATTGGAACACCTGAATCATATGATATGGAGGGGATTGGTACACCTGAATCACATGATTGGAGGGGATTGGAACACCTGAATCACATGATATGGAGGAGATTGAAACATCTGAATCACGTGATTGAGGGGATTGGAAACTGAATCACATGATTGAGAAGGGGATTGGAACACCTGATCATATGATATGGAGGGGATTGGTACACCTGAGTCACATGATTGGATTGGAACACCTGAATCACATGATTGGAGGAGATTGGAACATCTGAATCACATGATTGAAGGGGATTGGAACACCTGAATCATATGATATGGAGGGGATTGGTACACCTGAATCACATGATTGGGAGGGCTGGGCCTCTGTCAGACCTCTGCAGAGAGACCACTGCTCCCTGCCAGAAGGCTGCAGAGGATCCTCGCTGTCTGTGTAGAAGCAGTGGTCTCTCTGTAGTGGTCTGACATTCCTCTTGCATAGAGAACCCTAAAGATTTGCAGAAATATAGCTTTGACTCAGCAAGAGGCATGTCAGACCTCTGCAGAGAGACCCCCGCTCCCTGCCAGCAGGCTGAAGAGGTTCTGTGCTGTGTAGAAGCAGTGGTCTCTCTGCAGAGGATCCTTGCTGTCTGTGTAGAAGCAGTGGTCTCTCTGTAGTGGTTCTGTGCTGTGTAGAAGCAGTGGTCTCTCTGCAGAGGATCCTTGCTGTCTCAGTCTCTGCAGAGGATCCTTGCTGTCTGTGTAGAAGCAGTGGTCTCTCTGCAGAGGTCAGGACATGTCTCCTGCAGAGTCAAAGCTATATCTCAGTAATCAATCAAAGCAATATTTGTGCTACCAACAAAGTTATTTCTCTTTTGCTGATTGAAGACCTCTAGCACTGACTCAGCAGGGGGTCATGTTGGACCTCTGCAGAGAGACCACTGCTTCTACACAGAAGCGAGGATCCTCTGCAGAGAGACCACTGCTTCTACACAGACAGCGAGGATCCTCTACAGAGAGACCACTGCTTCTACACAGACAGCGAGGATCCTCTGCATGGAGACCACTGCTTCTACACAGACAGCGAGGATCCTCTACATAGAGACCACTGCTTCTACACAGACAGCGAGGATCCTCTGCATGGAGACCACTGCTTCTACACAGACAGCGAGGATCCTCTGCAGAGAGACCACTGCTTCTACACAGACAGCGAGGATCCTCTACAGAGAGACCACTGCTTCTACACAGACAGCGAGGATCCTCTGCAGGTCCGACATGCCTCCTGCTCAGTCAAACTACATTTCCGCCATCAGCACCGTTAATGCTCTTTGCTGATTGGAGATCTCTAGCTCTGACTCTGCAGGGGGCGTGTTGGACCTCTGCAGAGAGACCACTGCTTCCACACAGACCGCAAGGCTCCTTCTATGCAGCATGCTGGCAGGGAACAGGCTTTTCTACTGTGGCTGCTTTTTTTTCTTGTACAGCCGATTTACACTGACAGGGAACACTGACTGTTAGCTGGAGGGACTACAACTCCCAGCAGTCATGACAACGGCAGTTGTCGTCTTCTTCCTTGCCACCCGCTCCTTTGCAGGCAATGCCGCGTTTCCGGTCACTAGAGGTGAGGCAAGGTGTCACTGATTCCCGGCCAATCGATGGGTTGAAGACGTGTCCGGCCCCCGGATTGGCTGAGATCTGTGTGTGTGTGACAGGTACCCTTCATTGCACAGAGAATGATTGGTGTGAACGATCCCTCCGTCTGTGGGGGAGGAGCGCACGATTGAACCTCACTGTCATCTGTGTCTTTGTGGAGGCGTGGTCATATCATATCATTAAAGGTTACAAATGTCATCTTCCTGATCCCGGTCTGATATCCGTCATTAAAGCCTGTCATGGGGCCGACGTCACCCCGCAAAAACAATGCTCGTCGCCTGGCCGCCTCCCACTTCAGTGCTCGCTGAAACTAGGGCGGAGCTTGCGGCATCAGAACACCCCGACCTGAGCGCTCTCATGTACTGAAAGGAGAATAAAGGGAGAGAGGGCGCCACCATCTAAGTGTAGATCTCAGGGATCTGACAAACAAAGCCCAGTAGGCACTCGCAGGCAATACGCAGAATGCGGACACAACCCACACACTGCAGGGGGAGAGGCCGGCTGTCTGCATACTCCATGTGTCCGCGTGCTGGGTTCTATGTTTATTATCTCATCAAATCTACACTTAGATGGTGGCGCCCTCTGTCCTTATATCCTCACAAGGTGAGAGGCTGCAGACTCTGCCTGGCTGAAATGATGTCATCCATCTGTTGCAGGCAGGAGGAAGCATTTCCTCAGTCTCCCCTCCCCCAGTGATCAGACTGTACATTGTAACTTTGTAGAAGGAGGAGGAAGTCATATCCTCAGTCTCCCCTCCCCCAGTGATCAGACTGTACATTGTAACTCTGTAGAAGGAGGAGGAGTCATTTCCTCAGTCTCCTCCCCCAGTGTGATCAAACTGTACATTGTAACTTTGTAGAAGGAGGAGGAGGCGTTTCCTCAGTCTCCCTCCCCCAGTGATCAGACTGTACATTGTAACTTTGTAGAAGGAGAAGGAAGCATCTCCTCAGTCTCTCCTCCCCAGTGATCAGACTGTACATTGTAACTTTGTAGAAGGAGGAGGAGGCTTTCCTCAGTCTCCTCCCCCAGATAAGACTGTACACTGTAACTTTGTAGACGGAGGAGGAGGCATTTCCTCAGTCTCCCCTCCCCCAGTGATCAGACTGTACATTGTAACTTTGTAGAAGGAGGAGGAGGCATTTCCTCAGTCTCCCCTCCCCCAGTGATCAGACTGTACATTGTAACTTTGTAGAAGGAGAAGGAAGCATCTCCTCAGTCTCCCCTCCCCCAGTGATCAGACTGTACAGTGTAACTTTGTAGAAGGAGGAGGATCACTTCCTCAGTCTCCCCTCCCCCAGTGATCAGACTGTACAGTGTAACTTTGTAGAAGGAGGAGGAGTCACTTCCTCAGTCTCCCCTCCCCCAGTGATCAGACTGTATATTGTAACTTTGTAGCAAGTCACAAGGGAAGAGGCTGCATCAGGGGCTGATATGTGTCAAACATTTCTGAACACAGCTGAAAACTGCACAGGTACATGATGGTGTCATCTCCATCCAGGTAGTAGATGGTGACCCTGGATGATGCCTGAACATAGATGGTGCCGTCTTCAGGAGCAAAAAGCAGATGAAGGCGTTGTCAGCGTGAGTCCTGAGAAATGCAAGAAATACCTGGAAATGTTACAATCACACATCACTGAGCATGCGGCACCCAATATATATATATATACACTGCTAAATAAATGAAAGTTACACTTTGTAATCCGAGTCGCATGAAGTCCATGAACCTCCCGGGATATGGATCTGGTCAGGTAAGTCGCAAAGGGGGGTGGTAATCAGTTTCAGCTGCTTTGGTGTTCATGAAATTAACAACAGGTGCACTAGATGGGCAACAATGAGACGACCCCCAAAACAGGAATGGTATTACAGGTGGAGGCCACTGACATTTTTTTCTCTACTCATCTTTTCTGACTGTTTTTTACTAGTTTTGCATTTGGCCGGGGTCAGTGTCACTACTGGCAGCATGAGGCCATACCTGGACCCTACAGAGGTTGTACAGGCAGTCCAACTCCTCCAGGATGGCACATTAATACGTACTATTGCCAGAAGGTTCGCTGTGTCTCTCAGCACAGTCTCAAGAGCATGGAGGAGATTCCAGGAGACAAGGAGATTCCAGGAGACAAGAGCACAGTGGAGATTCCAGGAGACGAGAGCATGGAGGAGATTCCAGGAGACGAGAACGCATGGAGGAGATTCCGGGAGACGAGAGCGTGGAGGAGATTCCGGGAGACGAGAGCACGGAGGAGATTCCAGGAGACGAGAGCACGGAGGAGATTCCACGAGACGAGAGCGTGGAGGAGATTCCAGGAGACGAGAGTGTGGAGGAGATTCCGGGAGACGACGAGAGCACGGAGGAGATTCCGGGAGACGAGAGCACGGAGGAGATTCCGGAGACGAGAGCACGGAGGAGATTCCGGGAGACGAGAGCACGGAGGAGAGATTCCGGGAGACGAGAGCACGGAGGAGATTCCGGGAGACGAGAGCACGGAGGAGATTCCGGGAGACGAGAGCACGGAGGATATTCCGGGAGACGAGAGCACGGAGGAGATTCCGGGAGACAAGAGCACGGAGGAGATTCTGGGAGACAAGAGCACGGAGGAGAGATCTGGGAGACGAGCATGGAGGAGATTCCGGGAGACAGGCAGTTCCTCTACGAGAGCTGGACAGGGCCGTAGAAGGTCCTTAACCCATCAGCAGGACCGGTATCTGCTCCTTTGTGGAAGGAGGAGCAGGATGA